TCGGTCCGTATAGAGAAATATTTCTCTCGGTCTTAAAAACGTCCCTCGGCCTTCGGCCTCGGGCCGTTTTTAAGACCTCGAGAAATATTTCTCTATACGGACCTCCAATCCGGTAAATAACATATATTTATTTTCAATTGTTGAAGAATAGGACATTAATGTTCTCGTCAAGACGTTCCATTTACTACATTTGCGTAGAAAAGGAAAACTTTACATAGAAAATTACTCAGGTACTGCAATATAGTAACGAATGAAATACACAACTTACCTTCCGATGCTTTGAAATGATATGATGCTTTATTCCATCTTTGCTTTGTAATATCTTGCCACATAATTTGCAACGTTGCTTCTCACTTTTCCCCTTGCATTCCTTAATGTGCTTGTAAGCACGTGTGGCATTTCTGAAATAACGTCCACACTGCAAAGAAATAACACAATAAGTATTATACATTTATTATTTATTTAAAATATTTACGATTATGACTGGAACGATAAGCAGGTAAAGGGCCCTATGATTGGTCGAAGGTATAAAACACGCGTGTTTTTCGCGTGGGCTGCGTGGGAGCTGAAAAATGAGTAAGGTTTCCTGATCGATATTTTTCAGTTTTGGCACAAAAATGCTCATTTTTAGAACTAAAAAACTTACCTAAAAGCCAAAAACTAAACAAAAAGGAACGATTGGTGCAACTGCGGACCATATTTTTCTGTTTTCTTTTCAAATCCGACATAGATAGCCCAAAAAACAAACATTTGCTCATGTTTTTCAGCGGGGGTTATTTCCGAACTTGTTTTTCACACATGTGATAACTTCGCTATTTATGACGAAGTATTTCCAAAATTTACATATTCTGAAAGACCACTTGTACTAGTATTCCAGGGGCATAGTAAAGCCCGACTTAACAAACAATTGGCTGAAAAATATGAAACTTTTAGATGAAATCAGGCTGGTTTTTTCATACTGAATTTAGTGAATTTAAAAGATAACTAATCGTTAGAGTTATGTATAAGAGTTATTCACACATGTAGATAATTCTAAAGCTTAGGTATACCTTTGTTCTATTCTATGCTTCTGTAAACTAGAACAATAGTTAACTAGGCATGTGAGTGATATAATGTTGTCAATAGACCTTATGCATAATGACGTCGCAAGGCTTGATGCCCGCGAGGAATGCTGGCATCGCAAGGGAAAATTTCGGTAGTGCCCATTTTGAATTGTTTAAAGTGCCTATGCAACGAAATTTTTACCTCATTTTTTTATTGTTTTTCTGAAAAGTACTGCTGGAGTGATGAAGAATGACGTTTACAGTTTTTTTCATATCTCATCTCATTCTCAAGTTATCGCTCTCTCTATATTTTGAGTTGTGACGTCACAAGTATGAGTTGAGATAATGGCAATAACAAGAAACTATGAAATCGTGGTGAGTATTTAATAAAATTCAATGAAACTTGGTATATTTAGTGAGTGCACCCACATGAATATGTTTGGCAGGTCATGTGGTTGTCATGGCACCACACTAGTTCCCAGTTTCGTCTCTTCCTTTTCACAACTTTCCTCCTGTAGACTTCGTGCAGACGATGTTTACATATTATAACTGTTTAAACTGATCACAATGCCTACACCTATTATAGTAATAAGCGAAAATTGCAGAAATTGCTATTTATTTCGTTGGAAATGGATCATATACAAATTGGAAGAGAAGGGACTGGGGACGAGTGTGTTGCCATAACAACCATATAAACAAGCCAAATTGTTGACTTTGTTGCACTCACTAAGTGTACCAAGTTTCATTGAATTTTATTAAATACTCACCAAGATATCATACTTTTTTTTATTGCCATTACCTCAACTCATACTTGTGACGTCACAACTCAAAATATAGAAAGTGCGATAACTTGAGAATGAGATGAGATATGACGAAACTGTAAACGTCATTCTTCATCACTCCAGCAGTACTTCTTAGGAAAGCAATAAAAAATGAGGTAAAATTTTCGTTGCATAGGCACTTTTTAATTTTCATGGGTGATGACTACTAAGACCAGCATTCCTCGTGGGCATCAAGCCTTGTGACGTCATAATGCATAAGGTCTTTTGAGTATATAAACAAACGTTAACCAAATTTTCTATAGCTGACCAAATGTTGTTTTAGCAAAATATTCAGCAGAGTGACGTCATAATGTTGACATAAAAATATTAAACGTTTGTCTTGCTTTGCCGGCCAGAGTAGATTGATTGACCATTGTATAATTTATGCATGATACATTAACTTAATCCGCTAGCGAAGAGGTACGCAGTCTCCGAGTGCCGTCTAGACTTTAAAACAAAGTGACTTACTCTTTGAGGACAATTCAGTATCGATCTCTCTCTCAATGCCGCACTGATCATAGTCATATTGCTGAATTCCGTGCTAATCTCCGGGTCACCAGATTCGTCATCTTCCAGTATTTCAGAATAATTCATCCAGGTTTTACTCGATGTGTATGTTGAAGTAGGCTCTGATTCGCCAGACGAGGATTCCGAGTCACTCTCGCTACTCCCTGCCCCAGGTTTTTGAACATCGTCGGTAATAAATCTAAAGAAAATCAAAGCACCATATACAGGTATATATAACATCATTGAAGGACATTGACAATAAAAATATAGTTTTTCTCACTTGAAAAAAGAAACTTTTAAAACTATGCATAAAACCTTAGGCCTAGTTTAAACGGCGAACTTTTCATGCGCCAAACCGTACAGCACAAGTTCGGAAACTGATTCAGACTTACAAGTGTATGTACCACAGAATGTCGCAAAAATTTACATATCTTTTGTCTAATGTATATAATATGGTTCCTTAATATTTTTTAGTATAGTGTATCGATATATTTTTTCTTCCTCGGGGTTTTGGGGCAAGATTTCATAGACTTAATTATTTTCTTTTAAATGAATATTCTGTGGAAAAATTCCAATTCACCACAGAATACTAGTGCAGAGATAAGTAAGCAACGGTTTATCAAATTGTACCAGGATTTGGTGTGTCATTTTGTATGATAATACTGTGTGATATTGCTAACTTAATTTAGTGAAAGTTAAACCCTATGATCAGAAAAGAATACCAGTAGTATAACCAAAGAATATCAGATTTATCAATAATTTTGATAAATTCAGTTTTTCAATGGTAAAATTGATTACACTGTGTGATTTCAGTGTAGTAATAATGTTGTGTTGCATAGAAAAAGTATTGATCAACATAAATTATGCTGGTTTGCGAACTTATTTTTAAACATTAGGATTTTACAGGCATTATACGAAAAAAAGTACCAAAAATATAGAATGTTACTTCTTGTTAATCCTGATTATTTTTAAGAATTTTTAAGAAATTATACATTTTTTGTTTTTATATGTCAATTAAGACTATAACTAATATATAATCACAAAAATAAAGTTTATAGCATATTGCCTTCAAATTTTATATAAGAAATAATTAAGACTGGTATTCTGTGGCACATACACCTGTAATTGTACCGTGCCAATTAAATACAAGTACACTATATCCACCTAAATACAAGTACACTATATCCACCTAAATACAAGTACACTATATCCACCTAAAGAAAGTAGTATTCCTTATTATAATATTACAGGGATATTCACCCTTGAAAATATTTTTAAACTCAAATTAGCTATTTTTGCGGATAAAATGTCTTTTGATCAAACTGATAGACCTGAGGCCTTTAATCATTTCCTTGTAAGAGCGTCTGATGTCCATGGTTACAATACACGGTTTGCAGCTAATTCAAATTTCTACAGACCAATAGCCAAAACTAATTATGGTAAGCATGCTCTAAAATTTACTATTTCCAAGATATACGAGGAGATTTCTGCCCGTATTAAGTATCTTTATCATAACCAGTTCAAAAAGCAATACAAAAAATTTCTTCTACAATCCTAAAACTAGGGTGTAGCAAGTTATATGCTAATAGTATTCATAGCCTTTGACACCATTATTATATATCTATTTCTTACAAATAGCGGTGGCTAGCTCGAAAGCTATGCTGCTATTCTAGCCGCCACACACTTCCAATGTAAACTATTATGTCATTTGATTCCAATTATATTGTAAAGCTTTCTTCTATATAATAACAACTGCAATTATATAACAAGAAGTGTGGAAAAATTAATTTTGAATCTACATCAGAAATTTAAGTGCTAATTGCTCATGTATCATAATGATACGATAATGTACTGTACCAAGTACACTATATCAGAAATTTCAGTGCTAATTGCTCATGTATCATAATGTACTGTACGTTAAAAAAGTTCGCCGCATGAACAGCACGGCGTCTGAACCAACGACGAACCGGCTGTGTCGCATAATACCACATGACTTGCCGTACTTTGTGCCGCGTCGAACCTAATCAAAACTTGTCGAACTTATAAAATGACTTAGGCGCCGTTCTTCCGTCATAATAATCGTTGTATTAGGTTCAGCGCATCTTCGCCGTCTAAACCGGACCTTATTGCAAACAGCTGGCCGCCATATTTATAAATTTTCGTTGGAAAATTCCATCTATGAAAAACCCATTTACAGTACATGCAGTTCTATCGAACGAGATGCACAAAATCCTAATTCTTAAAAATACAGTACACGCATGTACCAACACCTCTCTTGACAGAGGAACTCTGGAATAGATTTACGAGGGGGGTGCGCACCCTCCCCCCAGCCAGAAGGGGGTGCAGAGGGGCAACCTCGTCCCCAGGGCCTATTGAGGAAGGAAGCGAAGCAGCAAAGGCCCTGGTAAAGGCTGGTCACGTGATGCTTCAAATTTTGAATATTTCAAAATATTTAACTTTTCAAACCGGGGGTGCGGGCCGCTTTGATTTTATCAAACATGGCCGTGCAAAGGGGCGATAGAAGCTTTTGCGACTGAAACTATGATGATAAACTTTTCAACTGACAGTGGAAATAAATATATAGTCTGCGATGTTCTTAAAAAAAATATGGAATATAATCAACAGCAATACTTGTCGAAGATCAAGATTCAAAGAGAAGGGTCTAAACACTGACTGACAACAGTAAATATTTCTTTTCAGCTTGGAAGCGTGTTTTATAATATTTGTCGTTTGGGAGTCAATAACATACTGTCAGTGAAGAATTTGATTTGGAACTTTGATGTACCTTTATGAAAAGATTACTACTGAATACAAATGTGCATGTAAAATGTGACTAGAACGTTTTAATATGAACAGTTGCACTGTCATCGACTCAATATATTTTAATGTGGGACAAACATTAAAAAAACATTAAAGTACTGTGCCAAGTGACAAAATTCCATGCCGACCATGGGTTACGTATGTATGCATTTTTATTAAACGTTTATACCAATATACACTATTTTGAACCTTTGTGTGTGAATTTTGTGTGTTGGTTTTATGATATTTGACAACCATGAATATTTATAATAATATAATATGTTAACAGCAAGTTTACAGTATATCGTATAATGCAAAAGCAATATCACAAAACTCAAGTACTGTATATGGTCTAATAGATGTTTCTTAGTCCGCAACTATGCTCTTTGACATTGTGGCAATCAGGTATTCTTGGGGCTTTTAGCTTGGTTTTCCACTTTTTTGATACAACTATAGAATACCCACAACTTTCACATCTTACCGCTATTAATTCCTTGTAAACATTGTCAATTTACTCAAAATTGATCTAATATGATTGCCTCATTCTTCAAAACCCCCCAGTCAAATTTGAACCAAACTAACATACTCATATGATTTAATCTCTAAACTTTACCCTTAAACTATTTTGAAGTGATTCTTGTACATATTTATGTGTCAATGAATGCGGAAAAATGGCGAGGTATTCTATAAGCATTCCGGCATGTGTGTTTTTGAACCTTCACTGTTGAGAGAGCATGCCATGGGTCTCCCCAAATTATCTGAGCACTTCAACCAGACCAACAGCTGCCAAATGGCAACTACTATGCTCAGAGGTGTAACTTAACACTTGCCCGGGGCAAGTGAATATCATGATGGCAAGTAAAAGTTCCCTCTTGGTTGCCCGAACGGGAAAGTTGCTTTGCCACAAAAAGCTGGCCAGCTTTCAGTTCATATTATTATTGTCGGATAGAATAAAGGCTGTTCGACGACATTGGTTCAAGCTAGCAAATCATCTGCATCAAATTCATCTAAATTGTTTGATTATATTATGCATTGATTCTCTTTTTGGTTATTAAATGTTTATTCATGATATGATAACGAAATATGGCAGGACTTAATTTATGGCAGGACTTAATTTGGGACTTTATTAGTCCTGTTGTCTGTGCCTTCAATTTCTTATTGTAAAACTAATAAAAAAATAAATAATGGTGATTAGTGTTACATTAAATAAGTGTACTTGATTCAAATTTTGTTTAATATGTGAGCCAAAGCTAGATCTGAGGTAGTCTAGATCTGAGGCAGTAACATAGCCAATGCCACTAGTCCAATGAGTGGATATGTTGTCTCCCTAATTTATACTGGCCCGCGTAGGTACCCCATTGCCTGATGGCAACTGGATTTTATTCAGGGCAACCAATTTTCATGTCCAACTTGCCCTGAGGGCAAGTGGTCAAAAAAGTTAAGTTACACCACTGATGCTGTATACAAATTATATACCTGAAAGGTAACTTACATCATATTGTGTCATTTAAATACTAATACTTGTATTCTCACAGTGTATTAAGATATACAAATGCACTTGTGATGCCCAACGAATTGCCACAAAAAAACCCATAAACCACAAATTAAAAGAGATGAATAATCTTGTCACTTGATACATTTGACACCAGGTGTCTTGTATTTGTCCATAAGAGACCCCTTGTTATTGTATCATGTTTTGAGAATGAGTTCAATTTTGATATTTGTTGTTGATCTGAACAAAATATTGATTATTGATTTGCCTACTGAGGCACACAGTATTGAACAGTCAATTGTGGTGAGTGATGCTGAACTGCCTGTTGTATGTTGTGAGTGATTTTGAGCGCCTGTTGTGATGAGTGACACTGAATTGCCCCAATTGTGGCTCAGGGAAAAATGTACCTGCTGACTTGTCAAATAATCTCCTTAAATAATGTTCTGGGAAGTAATTTGTGTAATTGATTACAAACAAAAACAAGGGCTTGTTAACAGTATAATGAGGAAATTAATTCCATCTCATTATAATTATTCAGCCTTGATAAAGCATATGGAGGCTTTCTGTCTGATTTGACCCTCATGCATGTAATTGTTTGGGAATGCCTGATCATTAAGATCACAACATTTGTTTTGAAGCTTGGCCTTTGAAATCTAAACCCAAAGCACTATATGTGTGTTCACAATGTTCTTGGGATAAGAATGAAAATCAAATAAAATATTTCAACTTAATTAAATTCAGGAAATGTTAATTTAACCACGGAGGTCAACCAGGTTATACTCAGGGTATATGGCTAACATAAGCATTTAAATTCCAAGTGCATACGATGTTGACATTCCTTGTTTTTCAGACATTCTTTGGGTCTTGTACTCCCTTTAACTGTTAAATATACTGTATGATATTGACATTTGCAAGAAAGATCTACTGTAGCAACAATAACTATTAAATGGTTTGATGATCATGGAGTCCATATTATTAAATTAAAGTGATTTTACATATCTGTTTCACAATCGAGGCAGCAATTTCCTTGCGACAGTATTAAATTCATAGTATAAATGCTTCTATCGATCCATTCGTTTTGCACTGTTGCTTTGTCTATTTAATAGATCTCCTTTACAGTTCAACCAAGGTTCTCAGAGCTAATTTGAAGACAATTTCAAATTTATTCAATATTTTTGGAAGAACTTTAACAGATTTTTTCATTTTAAAATAGATTTTTGTTCTTTATTTGTCGATTTCGGTGTTTATGCAATATTGACGAATATATTGTAGCTAAAGCGATCCGCGATCGCACCCCCCTGTATACTATTTGCTCCGATATATCACGTGAAAAAATAACCCACAATTTGTGGATTATTTCACCAGCCTTTACCAGGGCCTTAGCTGTCCTTCGCATCTTTCCTCAAAAGGCCCTGGGGACGAGGTTGCAGAGGGGGTGTTATTTTTTCATGATATAGCAAAAAGTATTAGAGACAAAATGAGATGCAGTAATTTGAGTAATAACATGATGATAAGCGAACTGTGAACAACAGTTACAATTATACTAGAAATACATGCATGCAGTAATCACTCTCCAATATTTTCCAAACATTGATTTAACATAAAGTATTTATAATTGGCCAACACTGAACGCAGACTCGCGTTGTGGCGTCATGTGTTGCTATGACAACACTTAGCTTTCTGTTTTACTCACCTGTCAGGTTGTGAACGTACATGCATGCAGTAATCACTCTCCAATATTTTCCAAACATTGATTTAACATAAAGTATTTATAATTGGCCAACACTGAACGCAGACTCGCGTTGTGGCGTCATGTGTTGCTATGACAACACTTAGCTTTCTGTTTTACTCACCTGTCAGGTTGTGAACGTACATGCATGCAGTAATCACTCTCCAATATTTTCCAAACATTGATTTAACATAAAGTATTTATAATTGGCCAACACTGAACGCAGACTCGCGTTGTGGCGTCATGTGTTGCTATGACAACACTTAGCTTTCTGTTTTACTCACCTGTCAGGTTGTGAACGTACATGCATGCAGTAATCACTCTCCAATATTTTCCAAACATTGATTTAACATAAAGTATTTATAATTGGCCAACACTGAACGCAGACTCGCGTTGTGGCGTCATGTGTTGCTATGACAACACTTAGCTTTCTGTTTTACTCACCTGTCAGGTTGTGAACGTACATGCATGCAGTAATCACTCTCCAATATTTTCCAAACATTGATTTAACATAAAGTATTTATAATTGGCCAACACTGAACGCAGACTCGCGTTGTGGCGTCATGTGTTGCTATGACAACACTTAGCTTTCTGTTTTACTCACCTGTCAGGTTGTGAACGTACATGCATGCAGTAATCACTCTCCAATATTTTCCAAACATTGATTTAACATAAAGTATTTATAATTGGCCAACACTGAACGCAGACTCGCGTTGTGGCGTCATGTGTTGCTATGACAACACTTAGCTTTCTGTTTTACTCACCTGTCAGGTTGTGAACGTCGCCGAAAAGTATATTTGGATTTTGTTTCCTTCGACCCAATTTCCTTGGGAACGACTTGGATTCCCTATTAACAAACGTTACAAGTGATGAGTATTTCAATAGCATAATGTCAATGGTTATAAAACATAACTGCAAAAGTAACGCATCTCGACTTAACTTGCATATTAGACAGATTTAGATCGAGGACGCGGACGTCAAAGACGACGTGAAAATGGCATGACATATCCATACATGGGCACAGCACGCCATTTTCACGACGTCTTTGGCGTCCGCGTCCTCGATCTAAATTTGTCTATTAGAGACCTGACGATTTTAGGA